CCCGTGGTCGGCTCATGAATTCATCATTATGGAGGTGCTGTCTGTCTTCCGGCTGTGCCTGTTTCGATAAAATGGCTTATTTAGTCAGATTTTTAAATCTGTAAAACTTTTCCGGAAGTCATCTGACCACTTTGGCAACGCAAGCAAGGTTGATCGAACCGATTCCAAACCCTTAAGATTTGCCTCATGCAGCACACACAGCATTTTATCGACGCTGTACTCTATGAAATGCTCTATCTGCAGAGTTCTTTGACAGTTCAGTTCCTGGATAATTTTGCACTCCGCGTGAAAAGCCTTTGAGATTTTGCTTGCCTTAGGCCATATGTAAACTTAATTTACTTGGGAGAACAATTTGCCTGAACTGTTTCTCACTTCAAGATAAATAATCCCTCATGCATTATTGAAAATGCTATACTTTTTTTTTCCCGAGTCGCAGTTCACTCTATTTCTCCCCCTTCGTTGCAAAGTAGTCTTGCAAGTGACTTATTATCATATACCCCTCCTCCCCTTTCAGAAAAGGTAATTTGTTACAGACTAGGAAGTGGGTGTGACAGGCTCCCATTGGTCTAATCAAATGACGGTATCCAGATTCATGCGCTAATTAATCACTAGCTCTGGGGGCTGGACCCATCCAGCGATTCTCGGTGGAAAAAGAGACATTTGATCTGTAGAATCGGCTCCCTCGCCATCTTCTCCTCTCTCTTCCATCTATCTTACATTAATTTAATGAAGTCAAAGTTCATTTGAATACAACCCTTCCTCTCTCTCTCGCTCTCTCTCTCACACACACACACACACACACACACACACACACACACACACACACACGTTAAGTTTTCTTTATCATCAACATTCATTTTTAAATTCTTTACTGGGAACATATTTGGCACCCAGACTCCCCAGCTGCTTAATTGTAGAGAGCATTATTATGTATTGGGGAATTATCCACTGTGTTTGAGATAACGCACTTAAGCTGAAGCCTGAAAATGACCTAAAACCATGATTCTGTTTTTGAGAGCTGTCACAGCTGTGTTTATTCGAGTCATGGAGGCTCATTTAGTTGGACCCTTTGTCATCATGTGCGGCAGTTGACCTTAACTCCTTCTCCCTGACACGTTTTCTTGGGAGATGAAATGAAATACAAGCCCCCCAAGGCCCCTGTTTTGTTACTAATGATGACTTTTAAATGTCATTGTTACTCTACTCCGTCTGCACTTCAATGCCCGGTGGTTCAGAAAAGGTAATGGGCTCGGGCTCTGCATCAGTGACCCAGGAGTAAGCAAAATTCTCCCTTTCTTACCCGCTATTACTATTAACAAACCCACATTCAAAACTCTAAAGCTTTCCCCCTCGGAGTGATTTTTAAAAGCTCTGCGGGGGAGAGACATTTTCCAAATGACCATTTTTCTCTCTGACCTTTCTGTTGCCCTTTTTGGTGAGTAATTGCATTTTTTTCAAATATTCATTTGTGAGTTATGTCATTTGCAAGTGTCACGATTAAAAAAAACACTGCTCTGTGGTGTGTAAGTAATAGAAGTAGCCAGCATGACTCTTACAGTTTGCTTTCCACAAACTACACCCCCCCCCCCCCAATATTCAGTAGTGCACTTGTCAGAGGAATTGTCCAAGGAGAATCTGCGGCGGGGGAAAAAAGAGATAGGCACTGCATATAAATACTCCTCTAAAGTATTAGCTGGAGAGGGTGAGAAAGAAATGCATTGAATAGAACATGGGAACTTAGATAAGAGGATGGACTTTCAATAAGACTATTTCGATTTTCAATAGCTCTGTCAATGGTGTCTACAGGTAGACAGCGATACGTGCAAGTGGGAGATGATGCTGGCTCTGGCACCCGAGGAATATGAGCCCTATCAATCACCGCCTACGGGCACAAATGTAATTACACTACAGTTGTTGACTAGCCAGGTAATCCGACACCACTGGCATGCATTTACTTGCTTACTTTAGGGGATTGCTGGTGCCCATGTTGACGGCGTCGTGCTCACTTCTCTGTCATGTTTTAATGCTTCTTTTGGGAACCGCTGGCATGAATTGAGCCCTTGCCTTTTAAATGGATACAAGGCTTAAGAGAATTATTAAGTTTTTTTAATATAGAAAATCATAGAGGTCAAATTAATCAAGAATCATCAAAAAAGGTTGTATTATCTAAACTATTTAACAGGGCTTTTGTGCTTTTTCACCCTCTGCACTTTGGGTGGCCGCTCTCTAAACACAGAAACCACACACAAAAGCATCAAGATCAATAATCAAAGCAAGATTGATCTTTTTCATTATTCTTTTGTCATCTATCTAAGTGCTCCTGTCTAAGTCAATCTGTGTTTTTTTTTGTTTTTTTTTATTATTCTCTGCGGTTCTCTTTTCAGTTTCAAAGAAGTTTGGTGTGATCCAGACCAGCACTTTTTTAGAGGGTGGAATAAATCTTCCCATTAAGAGGAAGATAATTGATGGCTTTCATCACCAGAATGAATACAATTATTTCAATTTGATGTTTCAATGGCAAGTGCACTTTCCTCTGTTGGCGTTTGAATGATTTATGAGACAAAATGAAGTGACACAATAATCAGGGGCTTCTTTTGTTGTTTCTCCTCAAAGTGTGTCTTTGTTTTTTGTCACGTTTTTTGTTTATTGTCAGGTAAAGATTGGAAGTGGGACCTGAAAAATGGTAGATTGGATACCCTTGTAAAAATGCACTGTACTTATGCCTGTGACATACCATGATACCAAATGTCCCTCTGTGATGGGTATTTTGTATCGTGTGAAATATCTGAAAACCACGTCACACACATGTCATGTAAAATTATCACATGTGAAATGTGTTTCATGTGTACTAAATTCCTATGCGCTAGATGTACCTGCAGGGAATGTGTTTTTTTATTTTATTTAAGTGTACTGTTTTTTGTGTCAGACAATGCTTAGTGAAACATTTACTTGGTTATGTAAAGGTTTAGGAATATCTAAAAACATTCCCTAACTAGGGCTGGGCGATATGGCCAAAAATGTTATCACAATGAAATAATGCATAGCATTTGATAACAATAATTATCACGATAAATGTCTAATTATTATTTATTAAGTTTAAAGGCTGATTTTTTTTGCTGATTAAAAGCTGAAGAAACCAGGTGGTTAACTGTGGTTTCTTGCCACCAGATAACATGTAAGTGCAAATTCACTCTCCTTTTAGCTCTGTTTTGCTCTCCTCCAAAACGTAGCAACTAAATGTGACACTAACTTCACCAGCTATTTGCGAACATTTTTAATTTAATCTGTTTTTGTTCGAGACATCACTGAGACAAAATCTTAACAAATGGGTCTTAACACATGGTCTAATTTGTGTCAGTTTAGGGGTCCTTGACGTGAAAAAGATTGAGAACCACTGTTTTAGCATACCCCTTTAATGCACCTAGAAGTACAACAAGACATCACATCAAGTTAGAGTAAGTTGTGCCGACATTGTTGCGCCTATTGTTTTAAGGTATGTAATTAACTGTGACTGGCCAGTCTAAGTGGGATAAGAGAACCAGGATGAGCTGGCACAGATAAATAATGCCATGTGAGTCAACACGATGCAGCAACAAAGACAAATGTAACTTCTGTTGCAAAATAGTCATTATTAGAGCTTCAAGAGGAAACATGAGCAGTTTTTTCCCCCATCACCTTAATCACAACCATGTCATATAATACGATGATTGCAACGACAGCAAATGCTCCAAGCTCCTCTTACTAGCTTTTTTTGTTGTGTTGAAAATGATGTGGTTGAAAGTTTGATCTAAAGTCACACATGCTGATCCTTTAAGGTGTGTGCACACTTTTATTAAAAAAAAAAAAGTTTATATTTGTTGTTTATATATTTATTGCTAGCTAGGTAAATGTGACTATTACTCATGATATTGATTTCAGGTGATATCATCACCTAGCCCTATTATGACATGTGGAAACACTCTGTGCCTTTATTTTTTCTCTCTCTCTCTCTCTCTCTTCCTGTCCGTTCTCCCTGATGAATGTCTGTGCTGCACGTCGTCTAGCAGTGGCTCTTGCCTGAGAGGATGTTTATAAAAATCTATAACCGCCGCAGTCACTCCTACAGTCACTCAGTCCAATGTTTACGTTTCTCGCTCATTTTTTATTCTCGCTGTAAACACAGAACTCTCGCAGTCTGCTACTCACATTCTGCGTGTGAGTGGCCGCAGATGTGTGTGGGCGTGCGTGCGTGCGTGTGCCTTTGTCAGGGAGAGGGAAAACAGCAACCTCCGAACTGCCACCGCTCGGCCCCTCTAGCCCTCCTGGCCATTCTGGCTCTGTGGTAAACAGCAGATTTTTGCCAAACAGACTCTCGGCTTTGGCTTGAGGCGCCAAGCACCTTTTGACCCTCGGCTTCCTGCCCAAGTGTAGCTTAACTGAAGTGCATTGTGTCACCTTAAAAGACAATGCATGAAGCAGCTCTTACCATTTATAGGTTCTAGTCTGGAGGGAAATTGTAACAATTTACACAAGACACACTCTGCTTTGCTTTCTTTGTCTCAGCCTTTCTGTCTCTAATTTCTCAGTTGAATGCCCATGTAATGAATGTTTATTTTCGCACTGCCAAATGCAAACACTGTGTCTACTTCCTTATGTTTGATCTGTGTCAATCTCACACTCTCTCTTTCCACAACTCCTGACCTCTCGAGGGCCCCTGTGGTATTGCTCATCCTCCCACTCCAAACAACCGGCGTCCTGTCCGCCCACACTCTCTAGACCGGGGTGGACAGCCTCTTCTCATATGTCTCTGTGTCCGACCTTTTGATTGCAGGTCCTCCCATCTGTTCTTGTATTTTCCTGTAGGAAAACACAGATTTTTCAGGCCTCGGCAAACCCTAACCGCGGGATGTTGTTTTCACACTCAAGTGCAGAGAAATCCTTTAACTAAAGTAGAAAAGGAAGGAATCAGAATAACTCATACTTACATCTTGCTTCTTCTTTTGTTTTACCTCCCTCTGCAGCCTTCAGTCGAGCACCCATCCCCATGGCGGTGGTGAGGAGGGAGCTGTCGTGCGAGAGCTACCCCATCGAGCTGCGCTGCCCGGGAACAGACGTCATCATGATTGAGAGTGCCAACTATGGCCGCACTGATGACAAGATCTGTGACGCAGACCCAGCTCAGATGGAGAACACGCGGTGTTACCTGCCAGATGCGTACAAGATCATGTCTCAAAGGTATGTAACATTTGCTTGACTTATTTTGACAGATTTGTATGAATTTTGATAAATGGTAGACTGCAGTTAGTAGCCCAGCGCGGATGTTGACGGCACATCTAGTTTCCACACATACATACAAAAAAAATGGTTTTGCCAGGGAATCTGTGTATCCCTAAAAAGTAAAATAAAAAGTGTAAATGTCATTTTAAAGTTAAAGCCACTATAAATATAATATAAAACCACTTGCCTTTCTCATTTTATTGTATGATTTGCCCGGTTCTCCAGAATACCACCTCCTATCGAGAGTTTCTTTTTTAGGAAGTAAAAAAATCATTTACAGATGATTGTGAGCTAAATACAGCCACAGGGTTCTTGGAGGAAGAAGCAAAGTCTTTTTCTATCTCTGTTTGGTATTAGCTAGATTCTGTCCCTGTTTTTATATGCGGTGATGCAAAGGCCAATATGTGACAGATATCAACTGAGATGATGAGAGGAGCGGACTTTCTAAGACTAGTGGCTGCTGTAGGTTTTATGAACCTTCAAGATGGAGCAGAACATTAATACAAATATCTCCAGAACTGCTGAGGCTAACATTAACAACCAAATAAGTTTTACTGAGCAGACAAAAAAGAGACGGGGAGAAGTCGTATTGAAAGAAAGAGAGAGAGACAATGGGGAAAGCGACAGAGCGCCTTTGTAGTTACATTTATCTAAGAGGGAGAGAGCTGTGTGTGTGCAGTGTCCTCAGTGGTGATGTTCAGCTTTATATTTTGCTATGGTGCGACCTTATTTTCCGACCTTATAGCGTGATGAACAATATGCTGGCAGTTTAATAGCAGACAATCAGCGAAAGCTTTCTCTATGTGTGAGATGCAGTGAGAATTCTTTGGATGTAATTATTCGTGCAATGTAAACCTGGAGCGTTATTTAATATCTATAAAGTGTACGTCTTCGGTTAGTTGAGACATCAGCGATTTAACAGGAGTGGTCAAGTGTTCAAATTTCATAGATTAATAAATGTGTGACATAAGCATGTTAAGCTTTTATTTTTGGATGCTTCCATCTAGGAAATGTGTCCAATCAATTAGGCAAAGTGAAATGGGTGATTGTGTTTATGAGTGGTAATTTCAAGTGATGTAGCTGATAGCAGCATGTTCGCCTGGATTTGGAAGAAAATTTTAATTTCTGAGGTCTTTTATGAATACATAAAATGTGTTCAGTTCGATTTTGGTATATACCTAGGGTTTAAACAGGATTTGCAATGTATTTTCTTTCATATTTATAGGTGTTTCACATTGACACATGACATGTAATAAAAATGGGCCCCCATTCAAAATAATGTAAGATAGATATTTTGCGTGTGTGAATATTGATTTTAATTTAATTTTGTGTGAGTGTAGCTGTGTGTATACACACAGCTACACTCACAAGCAAAATTGAATTAATGCTCCAGTGTTTGTTTAAAAAAAAAAAAAAATCACAAAAATAGCCCATCTTCACTTTATGAGAGATGCTGTAATTCACAACTGAGGTCTGCTGATATTGAATTAAATGCGGCTCTCCATGAGACATGTTTTTCTTCATGAAACAACTGTATTTATTGATCTCACTTCAAAGAGCATATGGAAATATAATGGCTTTGTGGAAAAATGGTACACAGTATCACACACCTCAGAGATCTGCAGAGATATGCAGAAAGTAGAAAAACACAAGGCCATTTTTATACAGTCATCAAATTTAATACAATAGCCCTCCTTTAGTAACATATCGCTGTTATGGATTAATTGGGTCAAAAATCCCTGTAAACCATAAACCTTGCCATACCTGGCTGGTAATCAATATTAGTCATAATTTTGCTCTGACGCAAATCAATGTTCATTTGAAATTATATGAATGCATTATCTGTTATTTGTCAAAATAAAAATGTGCTTGATGGGCTTTGCTACGATACGTGAGTCTTGTTTTCAGAGTTACGACCCTGTTGTGCAGAAGCCCGGGACATGGAGACCTATTTGTCACGGCAGACAGAGTGTAATCTTACCGTGCTTTGGCTTTTGCAGTAAAATAGATTGCTAACATTAGCGTAACATACACCACGTCTGGATTCAAGAAAATGTAGAGCTCATGGTGAGGTCGGAGTGAATATACAGTGTATATATACAGTGTATGTATGTATATAAAGTCCATCTTAGCTCTTTTGTTGACTTATTGCAGCACTTAGAAGGGATAGACTTGATCTAAATTGGTACTCTGCGTTAACATTTGTCTACCTCTCTTTATGTCCAAAGCTTTAGTTCCACATTGGACGGACCCCTTTGAGAATTCTAATGGACCTTTGGGCAATTGCTCTTGGCTTTTAAGTTTGGTGCCATGGAGTTCAGATAATCAGCTGTGTGAAAAGCAGCTGATGGTAAAAAGAGGCAGTTTGAAACATGTTGTCGGATAATTGATGCACCCTGTAGCTCCCTTGTTCTCCAGCCGCCCACTCAGACTGAAAATCCCTGCAGGAATGAATCAACGGGTCCTGCTACTGTTAAGAACACAAAACTAACATAAAGTACCAGGGAAAAGCAAATCTTTTTAGCATCTCGTTGCTTCCCGTGGGCGTTTCAATGATGCTAAAAGGTAACCACAACCCAATTCAGAGCCAGAGCACTTTGTCTTGGGAGAGGAAGTTGCTAAGTGGATGAAAGGTGTAAGGTGGTATGAATTGAGAATGGGGTGGTGGGGGAGGATTCAGTGACACTTGTGGCTATAGCGACACGGCTAAATATTAGCATTCGGTGATTATCACAGCAAATGAACTCCACCTCAACTATTTCATTGTTGAGCTGTCAGAGCTGTTGCTAAGCACCTGGGGCTAAGCTCATTATGGCTAAGAAGAAAACGGGAACAAAACAGAAACAACTAATTTGAACGGAGAAGGTCTTTAAAGACTTGTGATAAGGCCAAGGTTAAAGAGAACAGAGTTTTGACCTGACATATTTGGTTTTTCGGTGTATGCTGTATGATTTGTTATTCTTAATTTTATCACGGCAGATAATTCCTTGTTTTCTTCAGCAGCTTGTCTGCTTTACAAGCTCCACGGAGTCAATATCAGCAGTGACGCAAGCGCACTCTTTCATTAATATTTAATCTGTATACCCCTCCCTTGTCTCATACTTTCCTTCTCCTTTCTCCCCCTCTCTCCTGACGATGCAGTATGTGCATGCACACTATAAGCCAATCACTGGAAACAACCCAAACAATGTAATAGTGTGATTAAAGCATTTACATGGTTCGCAGTAACCTGATTTCCCCAATAATTGTGGTTTCTATGGGTTGTTTGGTTACCCGGCTAACGTCTGGAAGGATGTGTTGCAGACTGCAGAAAACAAAAGGGAGAAAACAGACTGATCATTAATGTTATTTGTTCTTTGTTGTGTTTTTTTTTATATAGATACACTTAATGCCACTGTTTGTGTATAGACACTACGAATCAATACTGCATTTTAGGGCTGATACCAACACTGATATATGAGGAAAAAACAGAACAACAAAAACAACAGTAACAAATCGCCTTATATCCGACATACAAATATGAATATATTTGGCATAAGCTAATATTGAGGGAAAGTTGAAGAAACCCGATGTTTAATTGTGGTTTAAACTCTTCTTTATGGTCAACACTTGAGGCCAAACAGTGGATCACTTCAAATCTGAGGAAGATTTATGATAAAATCTTTGTCAACAAATATGCATATGTAAAATTAATTAAAATCTTTTTTTTTAATTATTATTATTAAGGAAATTTTAAGCTGTGTCCCATTTCTATACTTCATACTAATTCTAAGCAGGTTCCAATTACACACACTAAAAATCACTTGATGATTTTTACATTACACAAAGGAAATGGAGGCCCAACTCACAGCTGCAAATAAATACATACATTAGTAGTATTGGCTCCTGAAAGATCTTAGTGCTTCTGTGTGTAGTTGCATTCAAATTCTAAAGTTGCAGTTTGATTGATGTCTGGCAGAGACTTATTATTTCCTGATTGTATAAAATGCTAAAATGTTGATTTCTTGGATTCTTACTGCTACAGCATCCTTTATACTGGGTGCAGTATGGAATTTGGGGCACAGCAGAGTCAGTAAAAAGACTGGTGACTAATCTGATCATGTTTACTCCAATTCCAATCCTAATTATTATTGTTAAAAAAGATAACTGGTTAAGTTGTAATAATCTGAGAATTACCTTAAAGTCTAATTAACATGCCTGTGAATGCATTGATAGTATTCTCCTCTTGTGGGACTTTGTCCCCCTTCCCCCCCGTAGCTGTGTACCACCTGCCTCTCCTGCTGGCACCGGTTAAGTCGCGGTGACTGGCAAGGGTGGTAGTTAGCATTCACATCCCGTCTGAAGATGAGCCGCACTGCTGCCGGCTTAGTCTGTGTGCCAGCCTCGCATCCATCACCGGCAAATGCCCAGCCATGTCACCGGCTCTCGCGAGCTGTCAATATATATTTAGGTAGCTCAATCCCCCTGCTCCCCCAGCCATTAGGAGAGCTCTATTGATATTCAGCTTTCATCAAACCCAAGTTCTACCTTTTCCAGTTTAGCCCACTTATAAACGTGTATACTGGGCAAGGTGTTTGGTTCCATTACAGTATTTTAAGTGAGAGCTAATGGTATCTCACTGATAGCACACCACTGAGCTTGTGAGTGCTGTAATGCATCTCAAAATGAAGGTTGTCTCCCATCATGCTGTGACAGGATGAAATGAATAGGTCTCTTTCATTAGCCGTTCCTCCCTTTTGTGCTGTTAACATCATGGCTGTTTAGAATCCACAGCCTCCGGATAAACATGTCACCTATAGGTGGTGGTGTGTTGCACTCTAGATGGAGGCTAATGATTCTGTAATTGAAACATGCTACCAAGGATTTATTTTAGCACACCTTTATCCATTTGCATAGCGTGTGCAAACATACAGCAGCCTGTGATTTGTGTGGGATATTTTTGGAGCATATTGTTTGGA